TTGACAATGAGTATTTCCTTTTATGACATTGACTTACTATATCGCAACACAAGCAACTTATCCCCCGTAAGGGTGTATCTGACTTCCCTATGCTATTAAGAAGTCTTGGGTAGCTACCTTCTACTCGTTCAACCAGTTATTTTGCACCTCTTGCTTAGTTGCCTCATAGTTGTCAAGTCCTACAACTCATTGTTTGGTGCTTTCACACCTCCATCATTATCTGGGTCACCACACTCCAACTGCATGCTCTGCAGCTTAGGCTATGCCATTCCCATTTCCATTGGGATTCCTTTGGCAAGGGGTTCTCATGAACCCACCAATATAGCCTCAAGGTATCACACCTTGGCACATTTGGTGTCTCCACACCATCAGCTCCACGAGCCTACCTCTATGACACTTCCCCTTCATGTTCATGTCTTTGCCAAGACCAACACCGCTCTTTCTCATGCCAACCATCTGTTAGCACTGCACCATAGAGGTCACACACAACTTTGCGTCAAAGTTGTTTTCTTTTTGGGAACACCTTTCCCACGACTTTAGCATGGCACATTTTGCCATCGATGAGATACTCTCTGTTCTCATCCTTGGATCCTATGATCCCCCCCCATCCTTTGTGGGGTACAACGCACCTCAGTCCAAATGCTTCCATCAGTCCTTTTAGGACCATCTGTTGACTCTACTTGAGTCGTCTAGCAGTTTTGGACTTGGTTAATCCACAGACCCGTAAGGTCCTACTTGTGAGGCACTAGCTCACTGGAATACACTTCTTGCATTCCTGTCCTACTCAAAAGGACTATTTTCACAAGTGTTACTCCGACACTTGATTTTGTTCTCTGGGGGCAACCTTTGCCCCTTAGGACTACTTGTCCATGTGATGAGAATACCAACTCATCCACTTAATACACCCCTAACTCCTTGGGTTGTTCCAGCATTTATTAGAGGTAGCCCCGGCTACCATTTCGAGGACTCGTGTCCTCATCCATACTTGACCTCTCACGGTCATCCATTCCGGTCTCATCTTCATGAGCACCAGCCTCAACCATGTGAGGATAAACTTGTGACTCCTTTATTGTTTTTGGAGTCTCTATCTTCCCCGTGATCCCAACTATAGTTGTTTACCCCAACTACATTAGCCCGTTTGCTGAGTCAAACGCTCATCTGGATCACCTCCTCAACTCAATGAGGAAAACCTTGCACTGTTCCCAAGATCCCAAAGTCGTTCCATTATTGGCCCCTTTTTTATCCACCACCTTGTCTACAAGTTCACACATTAACTGTAATGGAGAGCCATGTCTTCCCGACCTGCTACTCCTCAAGGATAGGCCCACTTCTCGGACCTTCCGTTGCCAACACCAGTGGTGATATACTTGAGCACCAATAAAAGTCGGACTAAGGAACAGCTCCGATACCAAATTGTAAGCGACTAAATTTTCCATTCTACTTTAGTCACTTAACCACACCTCTGACCACTTGGAGGAGTCTCATTCACAACCTCCATAAGTCCAATCCAGGACTTGGGACTTGCTAGCCCCGAGAATGGCATCCATGCCACTTAACATTTGCACTTGGTCCAAGTGCTCCACGTGTCCGATCCCATGACCGACACTCAGAGGTACCACCGACATAGCAGCCCGTTACGCTAAGGCCATGCCCAATCACCTTTGCCACACTGGTAGTCCAATACCACTTGCATCACCGTCTTGGCTCTCCAAGACTAGGCAAACCATCCGTGAGTGGTCATCTCAGATCCACTCCTTAGCATCCTTAGGATGCCCACCGACAAGGGGAATAGCCTTCCTCAATATCCCTCTGTCAGTTCCCACTATGTCCCTTTCTGCCCCTGGCCGTGTTTGCCAACACTGCCACTGGATCGAGACCCACAGGCCCGACCACTAAGTCCCACGGTCCTCTGGGACTTCCTCACCACACGACTGTGTCCTTGGTCACTACCCCAGAGGACTGCTCCTCTTCCTTTCCACAGTTTGGGCCTTTGGGACAACATTTCGGAACACCGTGGCCTTACGCGAGCCACCTGGGTACTCTCCTCGCCTTCTGCCCTTGGGTGCTCTAGCCATGGGCTTAGAGCGAGGTTCCGTTGAGCCACGCCTGGTATCCAAGTAGGTAGTGCCACCCACACTTGGACTGGGAGCATCGGCCAGTCGATCTCCCGGGGGAACTAGAGCCGGCTCTTGAACACTTCACCAAGCTACCCTGCTTGTCGGTCCGTGTTCACTCTAGTCTTGGACTTCCCAGTGGGCAACTCATCACCCAACACTGGGTCCGGCCTTCCTGGGCCAAACTGGCCTTTCCTGGCCAAACTGGCTCCACTGCAGTCCTCCCCCTACTATACTTTTGGAGCTCACCAAACCCCCCAGGGTCTGGGAGACGAACGCTTTGGGCTTTCACCCTCTCAGGCTCCGGACTCGGACTTGGACTCGGACTCGGACTCGGACTCGGACTCGGCCTCGGGCTCGGCCTCGGTCTCGGTCTCGGTCCCGATCTCGGTCTCGGTCTCGATCTCGGTCTCGGTCCCGGTCTCGGTCCCGGTCTCGGTCTCGACTTCGGACTCCATCTCGGACTCCATCTCGGACTCCATCTCGGGTCCATCTCGGACTCCACTTCGGACTCCAACTCGGGTCCATCTCGGGTCCACCTCGGACTCCACTTCGGACTCCTTCTCGGACTCCATCTCGGGTCCATCTCGGACTCCACTTCGGACTCCAACTCGGGTCCATCTCGGACTCCACTTCGGACTCCAACTCAGGTCCATCTCGGACTCCCACGTGTCATGTGTTGACCCTTTTGGGTCCCTTTTTGGAGCCTCGCCTTTTGCTCGCTTCGTGCTCGTTCCTCGAGCACTTCGTTGGGAGTTCCACTCCCGCTCTTGACTTTTCAAATCGGAGCTTTTGGTCCAAACGTGTTACGCTCGTTTGGCTCTCGCTTCAGCCACTACCATGTGGCGCCCTTCCAGCTCCACTTTGGGGCCTAGGGATTTTGTGTCTCACAACTTCCTGCAAACAAATATCAAATGGAAGAACATGTGGAAAAAAAATGATAAAAGTATCCAAGAATACATGGTATTGCAGGTCATGTTCATTCGAGGGTGAGGAGGTTGAATATAAATATGTTCTAAACTTATGTGTTGAAGATAGCACGGCTTATGTTTGGGCTGTTGCATTTCATGATGCTGCTAAAGAAATAGTTGGTTTGCCACCAATTGAATTTGAACAACTCTAAAATTTGGATTATGACAGATTTTGTTCATATATTGATGGTATTTAAGAGAAAAAATTTGCAATAAAGATGTGTTCTAGTCTCGAAAAATACCTCAATGGAGAGAGAATTAAATACATCATAGTTGGTGTGGATATATGAGGTGGTTTATCTTAATTTAGTTTAAATGCTCTAAAAACATTATGAAAATGAAGCCTCAAGTTGCAATCCTCATGAAAATATCTTGTCTTGAGAAATGTGCTTTCAAGTTCAATGTTTTTATTTGAATAATATATTACTTATTTTAGAACTACTGTTTTTTTACCACATTTTTTTTTTAGAAAGCTTGTTTTGCATCCTGAAATTACATTTTTTTAGTAGCATAATTGCACAATGCAACTATGCTTAATGAGAGAATGAACTTTTTTATCCCTATGTTTGCCACTTTGCAGCTTCAAATCTTTGATTGTGATTTGTTTCATATATACAAGCTTGTATATGGTCATCGAATCCCATACTACTCATGGTGCCTATCACAATTTATGCAGATCTTGCAACAGCTAAACTGGTAAACAGGTTTTTAAGAAGCCTGTAACACTATTGACTGGAGAGAGTGATGTTTAGCTACTCACTCCTTGGGAGGAATAATGAATCTTAGTTCCACAATTTGCATAAATTATCCAGTTTAGACTATCAAGAATCAAGAACAGCCCTAAAGTATTTTCTCTTGCACAAGAGTATCATTTATGGATAAAGGAAATAGCCATATATGTTCCATTCGAGTGATAAAATAACAAACTCTGGCAAGTGTTTCTCTATCGTTTTCTTATGATTTTTTCTATGTTTTATCTCTCTAAATTTAGCAGTGTGAGTTATAGATACGGATGCTCCAGACAGAAATAGCGTCAGCTGGAAATCAATGCTCGCTTGTGGTATCTAAATGCCTCTTTGACAGGCTCTCCAGGCATTTGCCTAGAAAGGGCACCTTGCACAAAGCCAACGTTTGACGGCTTAATTGGCAGGATATGCCCGTTTCGGGCATCTGGATAATGACGTGAGCTTTAGGATTGGAGACAGTGGGTTCTCATAGCTGCCTGGCGGATGGAGAATGCAAAGAAGATCGTCGAGATCGATGGCTAGTGTTGGAATGCGATTGCGTCCAGAATGGACTTCCAAGAGATGGCTTGCCGTAGTTTGCTGAGGAGCTTCCGTTGGATGCTACAGGCAGGCAGGCAGTGCCACCGGAGAAATTGTACGTGATCTATTCTAACAAATGACTATGCGCTTGGTTTCTGCGGAATTCGTCCACTCCCCGATAAATTCTTCGCTCTTGTCGCTGTGGCATTCCTCTCGGGCCTTTTGCTCTTGCGGTGTTTCCACTCCCAGATTGCGGTCCTCAGATCGTCCATCTTGGAGATGCTGACAAGGAAAGGCGCGAGCTTGACAAGCTCCTGTGGCACTCGAGAAGGAGGAGATGGGCAGGCATTGTTCTTGTATGTCTCGGGCTTGTCATCAATCACCACAACCTTCTTCATGTCCCTGCCCAGGAGCGCCGCCGGTTTGATCACAAAATCTATGCAAGAGTTACCATGGGTGGTCATGGTCGTCGATCATCTTCTCCTGCGTCCCCGCGGTGAAGATGACCACTTCATACCCCCCTTGACCGCCTCCGGGCCGCTTCACGGCGCCATCGATGAGGGTGTTGTCCAGATCGAGCACGAGTGTGGGCCAGCGGCCTGGCCATAAACTCTTCCTTTTGCCCTAAACCGGCCCTTAGGTTTGGTGCCATGGCGCCAATTGATCACCCCGCAAGCTGCGATTTTGAGGAAGCTCTAGCTGCGGCTGCCCGTGGCATCAACGTATCAGGTAAAGGAGAGAGATTGAGATCTCGAGAGCTAGTCGTGTAGGCTCACAGTTCGTGCCGCTTTGCAGCCATGCATGTGACCCTTGTGGTCACGAGCGCGGCCAAAATCCCATTGTTGTTGCAACTCCTGCGCTCCCGAGCAATCTCTAATTGTTGGGGGCTGGTAGGGCGCATGAGCGAGGACGAATGGATGCTGCGAGCCTTGAGCTTTGTGGTGGCCACCCCGGAGGAAGTCCGTGGCACCGCTTTGTTTTCCTCCCGCCTTGAGGCGCTTGTGCTGGACAAAGCAGCTGTGGCGCAAAACACTTTTTTCCACGAGGTTTGTCCTTGGCTTCTGTTCACTCACACTAAGTGTGTCACTCGTGCGCAGCTCTTGTATGAATCACGACATCGTAAGCTTCCCGTGTTTCCTGCGCAACCACGAGTACCAGTCTTTCGGAGGTTTGGAATTTTGTTTTCTTCTGCTCTCGCTAAACTCTACACTGTCCATCAGGCCGTGGCAGCACGGCGTGAGCGCAATGAAGGGCTGGGTGGATCCCAGGGACCGCTCCAGTGTCAAGGGGGAGCTGCGTTCCTCCTTGGAGGAAACTCTACCAGGTGATATATACACTACCAGGATTGATTAGCCTTGCTCAAGTTAGTGTCCTTTGTGTTTTGCCAGAAGTGCTGTCTTGCTCTGGCCTTGGAGACTCGTGGTTTGACTCAGCTGTGGAAAGCTTTGCCGATGGTGACAGCATAGTGCAGCAGGACTGGTCCGCGATTCTGAGCTACATGCCTGGCGTTTTCCATCGCCTTGCTCGCGGAGATAAATGGCTCACGCTTGTCCTGGCACCCGACTGCAGGGCTGCTCCCATCGCCCGGTTTATGCAAGTGTTTGCTCGTCACTTCGGACTGCCGGAAGAGCTGGTTGGCCTCCAAGCGGCCAGCCGAGTTGCCGTTGGTTCCCCCGAGAGATTTCACCCAAGCAACAGGTTGAGCGACGTCTGCCAGCTCATACTGGTCGAGGCGGACAAGCTCTTTGCGTCACACAGGCCCGAGGTGAGCTCGCTCTCTCTCTCGTGGTCACTTCCGTAGCTGTCTTGCCTTGTGTGTCACAGATGGAGTGGATCGTGGAGCGGCTGGAAGAGGATGTCCAGATCGGTTTGCACTCGGAGACGCTGCCTCCTGAGGTGGAAGACCTGGCGTCGAGGTTTGCCAAGCGCCATCGGTGGGAAAGGCTAGACAAGGCCGGCGCCAGCATGGATGGCATCCGCCAGTTCTACGCTTGCGTGGACGATGAGAGCTGCAAACTAGACGAGCTATGCCGGCTGTGCAAAGAGCTGAGGCGGCGCTTCAAAGTCCAGGCGGCGGTGGTGTGCAACAGCAGTGCCAGGGTGGTGGAGGTGGTGGAGGAGATGAGGAAGCGGGGCTTGTCCGCGTTTGGGATTCACAGCGGCATGGGCGAGAGGGAGGTGGAGCTTATCAAGCGGAGCGAGCAAAGGTCCGTGATCGTCACAGATCATGGCTGCTCCAAGGGGGCTCGAGACGTGATCAACTTTGAGATGCCACTGTCTCCCGGGGACTACTTTGAGCGTGCTTCCAAGCAGCGGGACCAGGTGACCAAAGTGGTGATTAGTCTTGTTGTCGGGGGGCAAGAGTGTGAGCTACTGGATCGCGTGAGGAGTCTGTATGGGGTCGACATAGATTTGTTGCCTTCTCAGCCCAAGAGACCTGTATTATGATGTAGTAATGTGACCATCTTCGTAATCTAGTTTTGAAGAAGGGTCCAGTGTTCTGTGTGCAATCTGAGGTTGGCACCGGCAAATCTTGCAACACTAGAACTCAGGAATTAGTCCATGAATTTGGAAACCTGGTGTACAATCAGTCTTTCATGTGGCTTGAGCTCCACAAATACTCGAGCTGTAAACAATTCTTTCGACATCGACCAGTTTAAGCTCTTCATTAACATCCAAAATTTTCCTTAAATTCACCCTTAATATTAAGAGTAAGTGTCAAAAGGCCCGACACCAGTTCTTGCTTCACACAAACTTTGTTATCAATCCCACCATTTTACATTAGAAGATTTTAACCTAATTTGAAATTTTAATGTTATTCTTTTCATATCAATATTAGCTAATTATAGTATTAGTCATTTTTTGTAATAAAAACTTTGGATAATGATAACCTTAGCCATTACGTTATACCTAACAGCATTAGACTAACAAAACTCTCAGGAATGTTAAGCATGTGATGGAAGAGGATTCTACAAGCAAGGAATCAAAATTTCCCTTGTGTCAATAACAAAAAATCATGGATCACACAGCAAGAATTTCCTAGATCACTAGCACCATAGGAACAAAGATCTCTATGGAAGAGGAAGGATTCCACAAGCAAGAAATCATGAAAATTTCCAGGAATCAAGAGCATTACCTTGTGTGAGAGGGGGAAGTCTCCATGGATGGGCCACAATCCCTTGCAAACGTAGCAATCCGCTGGGCAGGTCGACTGCATTGTCCCCAACAGCAGCACCATTGCAAGATTGGCCATCTTGTTTGTGAGCATATAAGGTGTGTTGGTGATTGCCACACCACACTCCTTGCACTTTCCATGCTGAACGACCGACACGATCTCCAGCTGCAGCAGCCTCACCACTGCCAATGCCTTGAACTTGTGATTGACGACCAGCTTGAATCTAGCTCCTGAGTGTTGCAGCAGCATCACAAGTGAAAGCCCTATACAATATTCATGGAATAATTTAATCCTAATGCTACAAAAGTGTAGCATTAGGATTTATGCAAAAAATGCAAAAGAAATGCTAGCTTACTTTAATGTTAATTTTTGGTGTAAACAAGTTACCATTAAATTCAACAACTAAATTAGAGTTTGCATTTACACCAATACTTAAAGTTATACTTAAATATTAGTCTTCTCTGCAAGCTTGGCTGCAATAGTTGTCCAGCAAGCTGGAGGTGGCTGACACTTCTTACGACTCTCAGCTCTGCCTTGCAAAATACTCTTCCCTCTTGAGATCAATTAGAGCATGAGTCTCATCTGAAGTTTAGTTGTGTCCACTTTTTTGCCTTGACATTGGATCATCTTCAAGCAGCTCCACATCTGCTATTTCCTCAGCTGTTGCTTCCTCAGTTGCTAATCCCTCAACATTCACCTCTAGTCTCTCCAACTTGATGAAAATGATATAAATGCATTCTAGGAATACCTGGATTGGAGCTGAAGTCTTACGTGCTTTAGGCATCCTTGCATGTGTGTGAATATGAATGCAGGAGGTGAAGGTGGCAACATTGTCGGCAAAGAAGCTGAGCACCGAGTTCCAAGAGATGACAGTCCATGGGTTAGTTATTCGCTGTTAGGTTGGAATGGGAATATGCTATACTCAACGCATTAGAGCTAGGAACATGGTGGTGGATGAGGAGTCTCTTCCCCAAGATGTTACAACATATTGTCCAAGCACTTGAAGATGAAGATGGAGAGAAGCTTACCAAGCTCACCAGAAAGGTTATGGAAATTTATCCTTCTTTACGAATTCAAAGAAGATCTGGAAGAACATGAGCAGCTTGACTTCTCCTGCACGGTTTGCAAAAGATGAAGATGAAGAAGACAATACAATTATGCATTTTTATATTCGATTAATAATAAAAACACATTTTGACTCGTATCAGTTGTGTCAGTTGCGAGAACTTGTATCACAACCTGATGTAGTATGATCAAGTACCATCATACTACACCAGATTAAGTTGTAGCAACTGATACCGTTGCTCGCGTGCCCGGCATCACGAGGCACGCAGCCCCTTCACCGAGATCCTCCCAGCCACGCCAAATGGTATCTCCCAGCCTCCATCCAAAGTCCTGGAGCACTGCTTTTCCTAGCATCCTGGCATGGCTGTACGCCATGAGATCAGTCCCTTCTTCTTTGTTTTCTTGGATGGAGCACTGATGAGAAAGAAGGTCGAGGCTCATGGACTCCCAGCACAGCGATTCACAGCGGCATGGGAGCAAGGACCTCAGAGTGGCCCGAGATGGAGGAACATGAACGTGGGAATGGAGGGTGTGAGAAGACCCCCACAACAAACTTGCAAACTTGTTTGCACAGTCCCATGCTTCCTGCTGGGCACTGCAAGAGTGCCCAAACAAAATATAGATAGATAGATAGATAGATAGATTTATAAGTTATTCTTGTATGCTTGAGGGCTCCTAACAACTCCCACAGAACTAGAAGAAATTAATTTGTTAGTTCTTCAAGGCATCCTGCAAAATCTTGTAAAAACGTAAGAGACATGCCCAGCCTGTGCTTATGGCATTCGGAATAGTAAGCAACATAGCCATTGCGATCGTTCCTACGTCGGCAGTGCCATGACTGAAAGTAAAAAACAGAAAAACGAGGCGATGTAGCGATATAGCTTTTCAACGAATTCGTGAGTAGCGTTGCTTCTTCTCCGGTTCGTGACGCTGGAAGCCTGGCAGACGCAGCGTCCGATTTGCCGAAAAGTCTGTATCATATTCTTCTGCTTTCTATCTGAATTCTTCGCCAGATTTCTTGCGAAGCCACTGCCTCTTTGCTGCATGCGTCGAGTGTTTCTTCTTGTTTCGATGGCTCGCATGGGTGTCATAGACAGGAAGTTGTGCCCACTCAGACGAATCGCTAGAAGTGGAAACGGTTGAATGTGAAACTTCTGGCATTTGCTCGCAGAGAACCACCGCTACTGCCGTTTCATCTGGCTCGCCTCGAGTTTCAACGCCAACAGTTGATCCTCTCGAGCAAATCTCTTTTACATGAGCGACGTCTTGCGTGTGAATCTCGGCCCGGCAAACCGGACAAGACGCAGTGGAGTCTGCAGGAAGCCACTTCCACCAGTCCGAGAAACAATCACTGCGAGCGAGAAAAAATGATAAGAGAGAGAAAAAAGAGAGAGGAAATACCTGTGGAAGCAATGGAAGCAGGACATGAGCTTCATGTAATGTTGATGAGCGTGATCCAATGCCAAAGGAAACAAGCAAAAGCAGCAATCTCCTTCCGGATAGTTGTTTGATGTCAAAAAATCCACTGCAAACTGGAAGCTAGAATGAATGAACCATTTCTTTGTGATTCATGCACACCTCAGAGATTGTGACCAGCATCGGCTCGTTGGACAAACGATTTGCCTCCAGCTCCAGGCCAGTGAGGAGATTGATCTGCCGAGACACATCCAATCCCTTGACAAGCACAAGCTCGAATTTTGGGGGATGGCTTGGATACTACTGCACACACATTCTCCAGCCAGTTTGCCAAATGGAACTTCGCAAATTCACTACCTTGTCGCCTGCCTTGATCGAGAGAACAATCTCCACAAACTGCCCCAAGAAACTCTCGAATGAATGTGGATCGATTGCAAGAAGGCGAAACGTTTACCTGCAAAGGAAGCTCGTCCGCCGTGCGCGGCTTGAGAAGGACCTCCAAATGAGGAGGCCATCGCTGCAAAATCTTACAGTCGTGGCGATACACGGCATCCATTGCCTCGAGCTCCAAGCTCACGTCCTCCATCTCCTCCCCGGGAAGAACAAATTCTAGGGTTTAACATTAGGGTAGCGTGGAATATTCTAAAAGAAATAAGAGTTCTTACAGCGCAGTGGAATATTCGCCTGTGGTGTGTGATCTTCCCGCGGTTTTCGAGACGAAGGGGAGAAGAAGTTGCCCGCCGACAAGCCGGCGGCGACGGCGCCGGAAAGCACGACCGGCACACGCAGCGTTACAATACGGCTAGGAGCGTAGGCTACGGGCTCTAGCGCCAATGGCCGGCGCGAGAATACGTATCAATACGCGCATCGATATAATGAGAAAGTACAACAGACGAACAGGGAAGAGGTGAGCGCTGTGTGCGGAGGGGGCGGCCCCCGCCACGCGGCGCCCTGCCACTGGCGGGAGACCAGCGATGCCAATGCTGCCACGCCACGTGGATGCCGTCATTGTCTCCCTCTCTCATTACACTGTGGGCGCTACCATTCGTTCGTGGCGAGGAGGAGAAGAGCTTGTCTCGTATCGCCAGTGTCGATCGCCGCGAGGTCTAGGGTTTTCGTGGAGCGGAGGCGCTGTGGAACGGCTAGGCCGCGGCCGCGAGGCGCCAGTGATTGCGCCAGCATTTGATCGGCTTCCGGGGGATTTTAGGGTGCCCGCGAGGTTTTGATCGGGTTTTAGGGCTTGCGGGAGGAGGAAGAAGGAGGAGCTGGGAAGCCGTCCGAGAATGCGAAGAATTTCGTTCCACGGGGTATGTGGTTTTGTTTTTGCCCTTGTCTCATTTATTAGTTTTAGCGTGTCTAAAGAGAATGAGGTACCTATATAGATATGACGCTGGAGAATGGCGCTACTATAGAAAAATCGAATGACTCCTCTCCAAAGTACTCGAAGAAACGTCGCAATGGCCGCAAAAATGGTGGAGCGAAGATCTGGGCTGCGGCATCCGATGAGTTGCATGCTTCCAACGACGAGGCCGAGGCGTTCGAGCCGGATAGTCTTGTCTGGGCGAGGATCGAGGAAAGCCTCTGGTGGCCTGCATTTGTAAGGTTTTTTCCTTGTATTCGCTCGGTGGCCTCCTTTATTGATATCTTCCGTGTTTTGGTTTCACAGGTCCCATCTCTTGAAAACTTGCCACTCTCTGTCTTAAGGTGACTATACTTCTTCTTGTGGTTTTGCTTTTTGGTCTCACTCACACTTTACTCTTCGTCGTCAAGGCAAAAGCAGGAAGGCTGGGTTTGCGTTAAGTATTACAACAATGCTCTTTGCAACTCCTGCTTGTAAGACTCGCAAACCATTTTTTTTTTTTTTTCCTTTCTTGTTCTTCTCAGTGTTGAATTTTCTACTCTTGCGTAGTGCCTGGTTGGAACCCAAAGACATTGTGCTCTATAACGGTGGCACGGACATCTTTTGCCAGCAGGTACTTGGCTCTTCCTTTGGTTCATTGCTCCCGGATTGATGTGTTGACATACAGATTATGCCAGAATCGTCCGAGACTGAAAAGTTTCAAGCGGCTTTAGCTGAGTTGCAAGAATCTTACAAGGCTCGTTTTAGCGACAGCGATGTAGCTACCGAGCTCCCTGCGGCCAACAATAATGTGGGAGCCGCGTTAGAGGATCGAATTAACTTAGACAAGGAACTTTTGAGGAAGTGGAAAAGTGGCCAAGATGGTGTAGAAGAAGACGGTAGCATAGCTGGGATGGAAAACGAAGAAGGTTCTCGGAAGCGGATCTTGAAGTTGAGGATTACGAGGTCTTCAGCACCACATGAAAAACCTACTGCGGATCGGAATTCTCCCTCGAAAAGAACCAGGGGATCTGATGGGGTTTGCATTTACAGTCAAGAATTCACTTTTTATGGTGGCTTACGCTGTTTTTGTTTTGCAGTCTTTTTTCGAATGTATGGTTTGCCAATCTGGCGGAAATCTTCTTTGCTGTGACCATTGTCCCCGCGTGTACCATCTCCATTGTCTGAGCCCGCCTCTAAAGGTAAGACAAAGCTTAAACACGGTGCGTTCTATAATTTGTGCCCTTCTTGTGAAGCGTGCCCCGACAGGTAAATGGCGATGCCCAGACTGTATAGGAGAATCGGAAAAACCACTGGCAGAGACGGTGGCTGCGAAGAACACTGAAACTGCAAAAGAAGTACGGAGCGAGTCTGAAAGCAAGAACCAAGCTCCAAATGGTGAAATTCTCAACATCTCTAACGAAAAATCGCATAAGCGGAGCAGAGATGATATGATCAAAAGATTTAAGAAGAAGTCGAGGCTTGACGATCCTGCAGCTGACAAATGCCCGCCTTGTGGACTGAATAAACAGTCCTCCGAGACTTTACTGGATAATGGAAGTTCATTTGGCCCAGATGGACTTCTTGACGAGGGAGAGGAATTGAATAGTACGCCAAATGTGAAGGTACTCTTTTATTTAAATCATTTTACGTGACAAAATCCCCGTTTGATTCTTGTGTAATTTCCAGAGCCTGCCTGCCTGTGACAGTTGTGGTAACACTGGTGGCTCGCTACTCAAATGCGGACGTTGTGGCAAATCCTTCCATCTTTTATGTATGGACGCTCCTTTCAAGGTACTCAATCTAGTAACTTCTTCTTTCTCTTATCCTTTTTTTTTCATCAGAGAATGCCAAGGAGCCGCTGGCTGTGCTCGGAATGTAGTCCGCTTGATTCTAGAAAGCGCAAGGAAGAACAACCTATTCTCCCTGCTGCTTCTTTTGAGGTTTAGTGTGACTACGTATTTATATTCTTGTCTTAACTTTGTTTGCAGGTTGATCGAATTGTGGGATGTCGGCCACAACCATTAGCCCCGATGTCTGTGGAAAGATGCGAGACAGAAGAAAAGAACAAGATGGACGTCGACACTATTGTTGGGGCTTCAGAGGGCGATGTCCAGGACGAAGAGGTAGACGGAAAGATAGAACTAGAACCAGAGAAAACTAGTGTAGACGAGGCTATAGAGGATGCAGGAGGTGGTGAACAACCGGAGGGGGATGGGATTGCAAAAGTTGAGCTGCAGCCTCCAGAGGAATTAGAGTACCTGGTGAAATGGGTGGGAAAATCTCACGTGCACAACGAGTGGGTTTGCGAATCGCGTTTGAAGACTCTTGCAAAACGGAAGCTGGAGAACTACAAAGGCAAGCACGGAACTGTTCCAAAGAATCTGGTAGACGACAGATGGACGCAACCTCAAAGGATCATTGCTCGCAGGAAGGGACAAGATCAAACCGAGGAAGTGCTGGTGAAGTGGTATAGTCTACCTTACGATGAATGTACGTGGGAACGGCTTGATACTGCTTTAGTTCCGGGACTTTTGGACTTGCTGGCAACGTTCCAACTGTTCGAAAGCGAAGCATTGTCGAGCTCAGAAAGCCGGAAGGTGAAAGACGGACAGGGTGAGCTGGAAGCTGTCAAAGAGCAACCGGCAGAATTACAAGGTGGCCAGCTCTTTCCTCATCAAATGGAAGCCCTCAACTGGCTTCGGAAGTGCTGGCACAAGAAGAAGAACGTTATACTCGCGGATGAGATGGGACTGGGGAAGACCATATCCGCCTGCGCGTTTTTGTCGTCGTTGCACTACGAGTTTAAAGTACGCGGGCCTTGCTTAGTGCTGGTTCCATTGTCGACGATGCCAAATTGGATGGCAGAGTTTGCACTTTGGGCCCCGGGTTTGAACGTCATCGAATACCACGGTAGCGTCAAGGCAAGAGCAGTCATCCGTCAGTACGAGTGGTACGCTTCCAGTCACGGCAGCAAGAAACAGCGGGCATACAAGTTCAAGGTGATGCTTACGAATTACGAGACTGTTATCAACGATCCCACGCCGTTGAGGTCTTTGCCTTGGGAAGCTCTCGTGGTTGACGAAGGTCACAGGCTGAAGAACTCAGGCAGCAAGCTCTTCACTCTCCTGAATACGTTTTCTTTTGCTCATCGGGTCTTGATGACTGGAACGCCGATGCAGAACAATCTTGGCGAGATGTACAACCTGCTAAACTTCTTGCTACCGGAGAAGTTCCCATCCCTGGCGGCGTTTCAGGAAAAGTTTAGTGCCTTGAGCACGGCCGAGCAAGTTGAAGAGATACGGAAGCTGGTGACTCCTCATATGCTAAGGAGGCTCAAGAAGGATGCAATGCAAGGCATCCCTCCAAAGGCAGAGAGGGTCGTTTTAGTGGAGTTGAGCGCAGTACAGGCAGAGTACTACCGGGCCTTACTTACAAAAAACTACCAGCTGCTACGGCAAGGAACCAAGAGCCAGCAGTCGATGATCAACATTATCATGCAGCTCAGAAAAGTTTGCAACCATCCTTATCTTATCCCGGGTACTGAGCCAGAATCCGGGACGGGCGAGTTTTTGCATGAGATGCGTATCAAAGCTTCTGCAAAGCTAACTCTTCTCCATTCCATGCTGGGGTCACTGAAGAAAGAAGGACACCGGGTTCTCATCTTCTCGCAGATGACGAAGCTGCTAGATATACTCGAAGACTATTTGACTTTCGAGTTCGGGCATGATTCTTACGAGAGAGTGGACGGGTCTGTTCCAGTGGCTGAACGACAGGCAGCCATTCGCAGATACAACAAGGATACGTCGCGCTTTGTCTTCTTGCTTTCAACTCGCTCGTGTGGACTGGGGATCAACTTGGCTACTGCAGATACTGTTATCATTTACGATTCCGACTTCAATCCTCACGCAGACATCCAGGCAATGAACCGAGCGCATCGAATCGGGCAGTCCAAGAAACTGCTCGTTTATCGGCTGCTAGTTCGTGGAAGCGTAGAGGAACGTATTCTACACCTTGCAAAAAAGAAGCTTGAGTTGGAACAGCTATTTGCAAGCAAGTCCGGATCACAAAAGGAAATCGAAGACATTCTTCAATGGGGTGCCGAGGATCTTTTCGGAGAGCCCTCGGAGAAAGAGAAAACAAGTGCAGAGTCTCCTCCGGGAGCTAGTATTCAGGCACAGGATGAGAAGCCTAAGAAAAAAGTTGGCGGCCTCGGAGATGTTTATGACGACAAGTGCCATGAAACCGGACGGTCCAAAGTGATTTGGGATGATCTTGCCATTAAAAGACTCTTGGACAGAGCCTCAGTGGTTCCGGACTCCGCGGAAGCCGATGGAGAAGGCGACATGCTTGGTTCTATCAAGGCAAGTGTTAGAAAAAGGCTCTTTCAGGAAGATGATGATAGCGTGTTGATTTGCCACAGGCTTGGGACTCTACTGAGCAAGAACACGACGCGATTGAGGAACATGCGGACCAGGGTGTTAAAGGCTCCGGTGCAAATGCGGGTGAACCGAAGCCTGGAAATGAAGAAGACAACAAGTGGGAAAGGCTACTTCGAATCAGGTAAGTCACAGGCGTTTGTCGTATTTTTCACAGGCCTAACAACTTTCCACAGGTGGGAAAAGTTGCAATCGGAAGAAGAAGCGGTTCTTGGTCGTGGAAAGAGGCAACGAAAAGTAATTTCATACAACGAATGTGCTGCTCCAAAGTCGAAAGATGTTTCTAGTGATGTAAGTCTGTTTGCTTGCTTCAGTGCGCTGCTTGTTACACTGAAATTTACGCAGTCCGACGATATGGAGGAACCGGAGCCGGAGTATACTCCAGCTGGCCAAGCTTTAAAGCTGAAACTGTAAGATTTACTTGCACTTCGTGCTCTCAGCTTGTCCATTTTTCTTTTTTGCAGTGCCAGGCTTCGAGCAAGGCAGAAAGCCCGCATAGCCCTTCGGTATGCAGCTCCTGCACATGTTGATGGTGTACCGTTTCTAGCTCCATGTCACTTCCGGGAAGCAGTTAACGAGCTGAAGCAACATGGAGGCTGCCCAGACCTTAGGCCACCAGATATACTCTCGCGAAACTTCAAGGACTGTTTTCCTCTACCTGAACCGGTTGACGAGGCACTCATGCAGAAAGCTCTAGCGTCAAGGTTGTCAAAAATGGGGGATGGCGTTTCAGATGACAGACTTCCGGTGGGCGACTTGAATCTGTTTCCCGGGAGCATGCCACCTTCTTTACCCGACGGTGTAAGCCAGGGTTCGACTTTCAGGCATCTGTTACCGCCGCTACCGCCGAAGACACCTTTCGCGGCTGGCTTCGTGTCCCAGGGCTTGCCAGTTCACTTTGAGAACCCAAGCAGAAGTTTTCTTCATGGTCCGTTTGCCCAGTCGAAAGCTGACGTTTTGGAGAACAGTGACAGGATTCGCGACGCTGAAAAGAAGTTTTCAGTTGATCTTTCCTCCCTGGACGCATCAAGGCAGGCAGACGAGGGGCGCCAAAGCAATCATGTTGATCTGAATAAAGACGCTGTAAGTTCTTTGGCTTTTTTCTTCTCTCATTAATTCCTATGTTCTTTTTGTGCAGGCCACAAAACGTGACGATAGTTCCCCTTTTGAACCAAAAGTGCCACCATTGGAACAGGGACAAAGTAATCTGTCCATGTCTCTCACACTTGGCAATGCAGCGGGAGAAGGGACGCCTTACAAGCTGCCGGGAAAGTTTAGCTTTAGTGACAAGGAGGCAAGGATAGATCCGGCGGCACTACAACTCGAGCCTGACTATATCGGAGGCTTGAAACAGGCTGGTGGTCGATCAGATTCATGGACAGAGGACGAACTGGATGCATTGTGGATTGCAGTGAGAAGGCATGGCAGGGGGAACTGGATGAGTATGCTACAGGATCCTAAGCTATGCTTCTCGAAGCGCAGGACTGTCATCGACTTAGCAGAGCGTTGGCAAGCGGAGGAAGCAAAGTTGCTGGGAAAGCATGAAGGCCAGGAACTGGAGCGTTACTCGAAACCGAAGAGAGACAGGCGCAGGCACAGGAAAGACAGGCCAGAGCATGGCAAGTTTTCTCCGTATGAGTTCCGGAGCAAGGCTGCCATGCGCAGTGGAGTCAAGGAGCTGTCGAAACTGGTTCCAAACTTCGCGGACTTCAACTTTCCGGGGCTGCGGGAACGTCCAGGTCCTTTTGACAGGCCCGAGCTTCCGACCGGTGTTCTTGACAAGTTTCACGAGTCTCCTCCAGGTCTTTACGGAGCTCCGCAGCTGCCTAGCTTCAACTTCGATGGCACAGGAATGGCTCCTCCTCCACTTCCTCCTCCGCTACCCTTGAAACAATCCAGCGGCGGAGGCGGGGGTGGCGGCGGCGGTGGCCAAAGTTCTACCGCAGAAAAGCCGTCGAAGCTGCCGCATTGGTTAAAGGAAGCTTTCAGCGTGGCACCAGCGCCAGAGGCGTCATTGTCGCCTCACGTAGCAGCAGTGGCTCAAGCGGTGTCAATCCTTCACAAGAATCACAAGCCGCTTTTAGCGCCCTGGACACATTCGTGGCACCCGCTCGTTCCACCCCGGGAGCTTCCAAAGCGCAAGAAGAAGAAGAAACACCGGAGCCACGAGCAAGTCCCTGCCGAGGTTGGAGGAGGCGGCGGGGTGACACCACCGCCACCATTGCCACCATTACCAGCGTTACCAGCGTTACCGCCACCACCACCCGGTCCAGGAGCTCAAACTTCAGGTACTCACTTCCAACCTGTACATTTACCATCCTTCTCGTTCTCTAGGAGCTTACTAGAGCCTCTCCCGTTAATCCCTCCAGTCCCGTTGCTCTCCTCCGACTCCGATCTTAAACACAGGACTAGTGGTAGCAGCAGTAGTGCTAGAGCAGCTCCATTTTTCCCAGAGCTCTTCCCTCCTCCTAATTATCCTCCTCTTCCTCCCTTTCGATCCAAGTTCCTGGATGGTCCTCCCGAGAGTAGTAGCTTAAGGCCGGAAGTCCCCCAGTTTCTACCACAGCAGCACAACAATTTTGGTTCATCGAAGCACAGACGCAGAGATAGTCACAGGCGCAAGCATCAGGTTGACACCACTAGCAGATCGTCGGATCGAGCAGAGCTGCCACCTTGGTTGATGTCACCGCCACCTCGGCCGCCACCACCACCACCACCACCACCAAGTTTCCAATCCACAGCAGCAGCAGCAGCAGCAGTAGCAATGCCGGAAGTAGCAGCGGTGGAGAGACGAAGAAAGGCTCAAGCAGGGACTAGAGATCATGGTGACGGTGACGATTCATCCAGTGACACTCACTCGGACCCGGAGATCCGGAAGAATGGAGACGAGGACGTGGATGGCTTCCTCGAGGTGTCGTCCGAAGGAACAGTCTCGGACAACCAGCGATAGGAAAAAAAACGAAGAAGAAACATTCGAGATTTTACGGGAGATGTTAGGAAACCTCTCTTCTCTCTGGCGCGGGCGCATTGCTATCTAAGATTTGATTGATTCTAGTGGAAAGCTTTTTGCTTAGAAATGGATGATTGATTGATAGAAATCGGCCTCAAGCTTTGTCAAAGGACACCACAAAAAAATCGATTGATTGATTGATTGATGGACGACATCATAGCATTCGATCCGCCGTTCCAATCCAATGACCAGATTAGATGAGGACGCATTGAATTCGCATTCAAACCGCGAGCTTCACCGCGCCTTCTCAAACTTCGTCTTCTCCCCAAGAACCCTAAAATGGAACTTTTTAAATTAAAACGGATGAGTACAGCTGGACATAACACGTGGCAATATACATTACTTGGCAGCTAGATCTGCTGACTGTACAGGTGACGTGGCAGCCTGGGCCTAGCGAGCGCGGTGAGCGCCTGAGCCTTCACCATCTTCCCGGGCGCGCGCTCCATGCTGAGATTCGCAGGCACCTCCCAATCGAAGGCGTGCACGAGATTGGCGAGCGCGAGGAGCACCATAGTGAGCCCCAGCGACGCCGCCGGGCACATCCGGCGCCCGGATCCGAATGGGATGAGCCGGCACTCGGGATCGCCGAATTCCACCACGGCGCCCTCGCCCAGCCCTCGCAAGTGCCGCTCCGGATCGAATTCGTGCGGCCTCTCCCACACCTGGGCGTTGCGATTGAGCGCGAAGACGTTGATGAGCACGCGCGTGTCCTTGGGGATCCCGTAGCCCGCCACGACCGCGTCCTCCATGGCGAGGTGGGGGATGAGGATCGCGCCCACCGGGTGGAGGCGGAAGGACTCCTTGAGCACCGCGCGGAGGAGCCGGAAGTGGGCGAGGTCGGACTCGTCAACGAGACGGTCAACGCAGACGACCCGGTCAACCTCTTCTCGGACCCTGGCCAGGAGGGCCGGGTCGCGGAGGAGCTCGGCCATGGCCCATTCGCACGACACGCCCGGGGTGTCCGTACCTGCGGCCATCATATCCTGGCCCAATCAAGAACAAGCACACACACAGAATTAGAATATTTTCCAATCGAAAGAAGCGGGGGATCGATCGCTACCTAGGCCTAGGGATGCGATCGACCTAGCAGGAGGGAGGGATCGAGAGGCGCTGGAGTGGATGGATCGATCGGCGCTTGCGCGGCCAGGGATTGGATGATAGATCGCTATATAGATCAAGAAATATCAAGATCAAGAATGTGGGAATGTTCTTGCAAGAACAGGGAAAGGGAAGAGGAGGATCTTGATCTTACCACCATGACGGCCTTCATCACATCCTCGGGGAGATGCGGCTCGCCATTCTCGCCGCGCAGATTGACAAGGATATCGACGAAGCTCTCCGGCTTCTTGCCAATGCGCGGCGCCAGTTCCAGCAGCAGCGCCGTGGCGAGGCCATCAATGTGCCGCATGATCTGTTTCATCCGCCGCTCCTGCCCCTGGAGATCCAAGAATCGCAGGAAGGGCAGATAATCCGAGATGTTGAAGCCGTTCATCATCAAGATCCCCTCGGCGATCATCGCCTTGAGCTCCGCGCCCACCTCGGGCCCCGGATCGCCAGGCCCGAAGTAGCGCTTGCCCAGGAGCATCCGCGTCATCATGTTGCTCGTCAGCCCATTGAAAGCGTCGCGGAGGTCCACCGCCCGGCGATCCACGGCCGCGTCGAGTATGAGCCCCAGGGTGTGGATCATCTCCATCCTGCGCAGGCGCTGGAAGCTATCCACGCTCTTGGCGGAGAAGAGCTCCAGCGTGCAAATCTTGCGCATGTTCCTCCAGTGGGCGCCGTAGGGAGCGAAGCCGATGTCCTTGCCGCCATAGGTGAGGAGCTCCGCGAGGATCACATTGCCGGGGCGCGACGCGAAGATGTGGTCCTGGATCTTGAGGAACTCCTTGATGATCGCGGGATCGTCCGAGACGACGTGGGGGATGGCGCCGAGGCGGAGATAGACGAGAGGGCCGTAAGCCCGCGTGAGCTTCATCATCCCTTCGTGGGGGACGGTGCCTACGTCGAGGAGATTGCCGATGATTGGCCATCCTCTCGGCCCGGGAGGAAGAGGAGGCGAGCTCGAAGAACTAGAGCCGGAGCTACTAGAACTGGACGAGGATTTCCTCCTGGCTCCTCTGGAAGAAGGGAGATTCAAGAGAAGTAGCAGCAGCACTAGGAGCGATCCCGCGACGGCCAACTTGAGGTAGAGCTCCGGAGTGGAGGAGCTCAAGAGCTGTGGGATTTCCACCATGGCGAGAGGTCGATTGACCGTGGAACTCTCACAGGATTTCGCTCGTAAGTTATATCTATCTCTCACTCTTTTGCTCTACAGATTGTTCTTCCAGGACTTTCACTCACACTCGCGACACTTCATCATCCAGGACGGCCGTAGACACACACGACACGATTTCCTCGATGGAAGCCTCTGACGTGATTTACAGTAACGCAGCGGCTATTGTTGCGGCTATTTGTTGCGGCCTCCAAGAGCCAGTCAGGGTTTTTTCAACGGGGTTTAAGTGACACAACGCACGAATGCGAGAAAAACTTTCTCATTTGTTCTCTTGTGTATTTCCAAGTTCTAATGGTTTTCTTAGTTGCCTTACTTTTAGGTGCACCGACTCAAGAAGGTGCGCAATTAATCAGATTATTCGTACTTTACTGTTCGATCCGTTTGACACCACTGCTGCGCAGAAACTTTTATGAAGGACGACTCTTTCGGCTTCGGTTTAACATACGAAATTTTTATTCGGGATCCCAGCACCTTTTTTTCCTTTTTTTTCTAGCTGGGATGCCGTAGCTGCTGGCTGTTTGCCCGGATAAATTATTTCTACCTCCCTGCAAAGAGAAGAGGCTAAACAAATAAAATAATCTCATGTCTCATCGTCTGTCTCTCAATTCAAGCCTGCGTGAGTATGTTCTTGAGAACTTACCTGTGGAATCCACTGCAAAAATCTGTTTTTGTCATCCGGAGATGGTGGAATCGCGAACCTTGCTGCGGCTATGGTACCATTCCCTTGTTTTCTACGTTTAGCGCAGCCAAGAGCCTGGGCCAGGTCTCGGGAATTCCTCCACACACATCAAAGTCCTGGAGTTTGTTTCGCTCGCGATAGTAATCTTCTACTGGTTTGGACTGCAAGCCAAAGATCAAAACTTTGATGAGTCCAAAGGAGAAATAGAGAAGAAAAAAAGCGTTTTTTCCATACCTCTGCCGCATATATACGCAATCGCTCTCGCACTACTTCTTCAGTATCGTCTGTTCTGACCGTGAGAGTTGCGGCGCACGCCGGAGGTGGCAACAAAGGTGGCATAAACACTCTGGGAGAGTCCTCCGACTGCTCAACGTCGATCTTGGCGACGTTGTAAGTGCCACCGCAGTGGCTGCAAATTCTCCTCCCCAAGCACTTGAGCACGAGAACATCCTCTCGGAGCTTCAAGTTTACCACCAAATCGATTTCGACAATGTCGTCTAAAGCTTTCTGCAAAGAAAGCAAAAGTAATCCCATGAGAATGAAACAAAGAACTAGGTAGAACAATAGAAAGAAAGAAACCAAAATACCGACCGCTTGGATTGTGGTACGAGGAAATCCATCCAAAATAAATCCCGCCTCGTTGCTCAAAGCCCCTTGCTCAAACCGGTTCTTTAACATGGCAAGAATAATCTCGTCCGGCAGCAACTTCCCTTGGGCCATCAACGCGGACATCTGCCACAATATGAAACTTTTTTTGCTCAGCTCAGCTAGTCTCTAAATCCACGAGCACTGTATGCCACCAGAAAAAAAAAATGGAATTTTTAGCAACACATGGCAGGAAATTCTTGCAAACTCTAGACATCTAGCAAGAATTGATACGCTAGATGCAAAGAACACCGACCAAGGAAGCTACACAACTTACCTCTCTAGCGAGAGGAGTGGATTGCTTGAGCTCCTGCCTGACCAAGTCGCCCATAGCAATGTGAGGCACTGCTAATGTGGTTGCCAGGCGGCTGGCATAGGTTCCCTTACCAACGCCAGGGCAGCCCAAGAACACCCATTGCAAGCTCCGAGCAGTGCTCACCACAGCTGCCGCGTCTTCCTTGTGCTGCTCCTCCACCACACGGCGAACCACTGGAATGTAGGAGGAAGAATCGAGCTCCAGCGCCGATTGCGATAGGGCGCGCCCAGCGTGGATTCCTAGGAGGCGGCTAGATCTCCTTGCCGTGATGAGGGCGGCCATGGGATCGATCTCGGCAGCTCGCCTGCCCTAGAATACCGGCGCAGCGTCGAAATATCTGTGGCCGGCGCTGGCGGGAATCGAACGCCGGATGGATCCATTGGTGGAAAGGTGGATATGCTATTTCCTTGTTGGGGATATTCTCTGTTTCGCTGGCGGGAATTGAACACGTAGCGTCGTCCATGGCATGAGCAAAACAACGCTTGTATTTAGGTAGCACACGCTAATGATCGATTGATCGATCGCTCTGATCGAGCTCACATTCTAGCTGACATTCTAAAGCGTGCACGATATAAGGATCCAAGCGCAACTTGCCGGTGCATCTATGACGAGGACGCAGCTACTGTGGAGCGCATCGTTACTCCCTGCTTGCAATGTCCCAAGGTTTGCTTTGATTCCTTTTATGATCTGCTTTTACTTTAGCCGCGTGGAGATCCTAAGGTACAACAAGTGGCTTGGTTTCACTCCAGGTGAAAGAGATCATCACCATTTGCGACATCCTGTCCATTTTTCTCAGGAACTTCAGGTGTCAATTTGATGTAGAATTCTCGACACATTGTTTTCTCCTGACACGAATTAAATGCTGCTTGTTTGTGGTTGTAGGAAAGCGAGTTCTAGATGATTTACGTTCGTACCCGGATCCCACTATGAAAGTATGTCACTCTTCTGGAGCTACAGGTAATTCATTGCTCTTGTAAGTTCACGTATTTTTTATAAGCAACTTGCAGGAACGAAATGAATAGCTGTTTCTATACGCCGATTGTAGGTGAGGCGTTCGAAACATACGGGCTTATATACAGTATCAGTTAAACGAGAAGTATGTTGTGTTAAACTTTGGAGAAATGAACAGGGGCGGACGCTCTTCGAAACTGGCTGTACATTGTTGTTACTGGCGGGGAGCGTATTCTAGGTTTAGGAGAGCTCGGAATCCAGGTTTCTTTCTTCGTCACAAACTTTGGGTGACGAAGATCACCAAGTGCAGTATATAGAGCCAATTTCCGGATTCGAACCTGAAGGAAACTTCTTTGGTAATGTTGATTGTCAGCCTAAAATTTTTACTTGTTACGCCTCCCGATGGTTTCAGAGGTTGGAACAAATAACAAGGACCTTCTGAATGATCGTTTCTACATCGGTCTGAAACGAAAGCGAACTGTCCATTACATTGTTTTAAGCTAGGAATATGACAGCCTGCTTGACGAGTTTACGAGTGCTGTGAAGCAGGAGTATGGCGAAGGCGTTCTTGTGCAGGTATGATTCATTGTCATCTTTCTTGCTTGTTACACTAATGTGCTGTTGTTTGTCACCGAGGATCAGAAGCCTAATTGACTTAATTGACGATCAGAAGCCTAACTGACAAGGCTGTTGTGAGTTTGAAAATTTTCCTAATCAGAATGCTTTCAGGTTCCTTGCAAATTATTCAACAATGCACCTTTTTTCAACATTCAGGTGAAACTTTGACGAGATAACATGGCAAAACGAAAAGCTGTTCTTTTCCTTGATGCAAGGGACTGCTGCTGTGGTTCTTGGGGACTTCTGATTGCGGCTGTGAATATTACAGGAACAAAACGGACTTATTTGCTGGTGCGGGAGAGGTGTTGTTGTCCTCTTGCCAATGGACTTTTCTTTTCCTGTCGTAGACAGGATCGGGAATTGCAGAAATTATTGCTCTCCACATCTTGAAAGAGGTAAAAGTGTCCCTGTATTGTTCTCAGAATGGAGATCGCTGACCTAGAAGAAGCAAGGAACATTTCTTTTACAGTCCATAACTTATGAGTTGTGTGTTGGAATTGCTGGAGTGGGTTTTTGAGATTCATAAATTTTCAATTGTAGCAAATAATTCTTTCTCGGAGGTTAGAGGCGCTCAAATACCCACAGGGACGTGCCATTTTTGCGAGTGGGAGCCCATTCCCTCCTGTCGAAATGAATGGGAAGACAGGCCAGGTATGTATTGGAAGTCATTGTTTTTTCTTCTTATTACATTAATCACATCGTTTTCCAGCTGAGAGAAATTTCAGATTCTGTATCTTTTCCTATGCCCTTTTACAGGTGCTTATCAATTCTTCCAGCGAGGAGGCGGTGTCTACCCTCTACCGCTGAGGCTCCCAGATGAGCGAAGATATCAACAAGTCTATGCGCCCTTGCCAACACGGTGCATGCGTCCAGCACCCTTCCAGGCCTTCGCCTGCCTGCTTGGTTGATTCTCCTGGCACGACGCCAAGTCGCCCTTGATCGAGAGCAGCCGCGAGGCGAGCAACGCGTGGCTTGACTTTGGCATGGCTGCTCTCGCCTTTCCACCATTCGACGGGCGCCCGGAGAGACTCGTTACGCACTACTACCCGGGGATCCATTGCCCCCAGATTCCGTTTTGTTCGCAAGGGCCTGTTCAGGTGAGCCATGCTGCGTGATAGGATACTCGAAACGAGAAAGCGCTGATGGATGGCTTTGCAAGGTACTACTAGAGGCTCATTATGTTTGTTTTTCCTAAACTAGTAATAAACTCCTCACTGCTTAATTATCTGGTTACAGGCCGAGATGCTGCGCTTTGGTTGTGGAGCTTTTTCAACAGTGCTACTGATGAAGTGGAATGTCATGTATACCGCTGGTGTTCGTAGCCGCTGCGTTGTCTATTCACCCACCCATGAGCAAGTCTGTACGTGTGCCTTCCTTTGCTGTGTCTAAACATGTTGTGCCGTTGTCAGGAGATCGTAAGTTTTCCACAAGTGTGCTGCGCGATTACTGCAATCCTCATAATAATCCAGAGGCGGGGACATGGTGGTAATCACCAAGACAAGTATCTCCAGTCTCCAGCCATTGAGACGCACAGGCAAGTGTGCTAAACTCATTCCTGTTCTGGTTTGATATAACTTTTATTTCATGCAGTTTGAAGTAAGCATTTGTCATGCTGCCCAGATATCTACAGTAAGCGAGCTACTGATCAAGTATTTGACGGTCTTTTTCTTTTCTTTTCTTTTTTTTTCTCCAGTGGTCCAGAGGAGATGGGCATGCTGTATGGGGGACTGAAACTGGTACGTTTTCGTTTTAACGCAGAGCTTGAATTATAAAGCATGCAGGGCAAGGACTTGTGCGAGATCTGTATGAGTATTCTCCTTTACCGCGGGATGAACTGTGAGGATGTGACTACACCGCTCGCTCTTGGCAAAGTCAAGGCTGGAAACCGGTAGAGTTTTCAAACATCAAGTTAGTTATTTTCATGATGATTATAAAAAGTTTTTCCTTGCTTCTCCCAAAATCGAATGAAATATTTCATAATCAAAAACTGCCACCCCAACATTTAATACGATCAGAAAACCATTTCTCCAGCTCCTGTGCAAGCAAATCGATCCCTCCTCTCTTTTCTTTCATGCTATA